ATGTCCATAGTACTGCTCATGTCTATAGGCGACGGTTACCACTTTGCAACAGGTGGGCCGTCAGCTTGTTTGCCATTCTAAGTTGCATAAAACAAATTATAACTAGTAATAGAATTAAACATGCTTCACTATTAAATAATAATCAATCTTAAATTTTTTAATAGTTAAATATTAGCGGATATCCTGTAAATAGCATTACAGTTTTAATCAAGCCAAATTGTTGCACTATTATCTCTAATATTATACAGTTTCGATCCGCCATTGAAACAACCGTTATGATTAGCTAATTCGATTAACTTTAGACAGATGCAAGTTTGCTGTAGAGAAATTGATTACTTAGATTACGAAAGAGATTGTTATAGATAAGATCATTGCAAATGATAATTTATTAGATATAACTTGTAAAATCTAAAGGAAATGGATATGTATTTATTTTTTTATAAGCAGATATTTCGGCACAACTGTAGTGGGACTCAAACATACATATAGACTTACAAAATGTATTTATCATTATTATCTTTTAGACCTTTCAAATATATATTTATTCTAACGGGATGTAAAATATCTTGTCCTCTTGTTTTTGTTTTAAGTTACTTAACAGACAACAAGATTTCAATCTCTTTTTATATATAAAGTTGGTAAAAAAGAAGATTGCAAATTGGCACAATTAATGAAAGAATTTAGAAATGACACGATCTTATGATATAATAATAGAAAAGTAACTGTATGTTTGTACATGAGAGGTATTTAAGAACAATTGATGTGATTGCTCCTATTAAAACTCGTTTAATAGGAGCAACAGATGTCAAAACAATATTATTTAGAAATTTTGTCCGTTTGACTGTCTGTATGTCCGTTCTGATATTATGCAAAAACTATTGCACCAAATTGGATGCGATATTCCTGAAGTTATAAATTAAAATCTGGTATACCTATGTTTTATCTTAACATACCATCCAGAAAAGGTTCCATTCATAAGTTTGCTTATCTGTGAAATCCATGCGTACAAAATAGCAGGCAAAAGCTAGAATATAACGACAGATTTTTTCATAATATATATGTATATATTACTGGATTGCCGTGTGATCCTGGTACAGATAGACCACTCGTTCATTTCACGTATATTGTAAGAGGTGACAAAGGGAACTTAATGGTAGAGACAGGCTGTAGCGTCTCTCTTAAAACGTCACTAAAGCCTAACCAACCCGCCTGGGGGGAATGGGATTGTTAGTAATGGAGACTAAGAATCCCATTGCTAACAATATACCCAACCAGGTCGACCTCCTCGCGGTTCCCCTTGGAAACTATCATGGTTAATTCCTGATGAATTCATCATGATGGGCTAACTGACCTGTTTTCATTCTCATCGATCACCCTTCACTGGTGCTCCGCCAACGTATCCTGTTAGCGCAGGCAGAGTTACCAATCCATTTTCATCCATCAAAAAAAAAACCAACCCGCCTGCCAGTCATTGCAACTACTGACAAAACTCTCCTTATGGAGAAGACTGGCATGATGATGATTATGGCTGAATGCTGAGTGTACATTAGATTTGACATAGACGACGCAATAAATGCTAAATAACGATCAGCGAATTACTTATATGGGATATATCAACCCAATATACATTTCGAAGTTCATCGTGTGAATTTCTGAATCTATTGTGCGAAGGGGTATTCGAAAGGACACTTCGCCCCGATATATTATGCGGGTCCTATTTCCATTCCTTTCAAGTGTCCCGGAAAAATGAGCCGCACAATATGTCGAAGATGTGTCGGAGTTTCGTCGAAAGAATGACAAAGAGGTGCTCTGTTAAAGTGTCCAGTGAAAGATATGCTGGTTGTGGTAAGTAGGCCACCGACCGTTGGTCGGTTGCTGTTGTATACGGATTCTAATATTTCGAAAGCATACCTCTTTTTAATGTTGGCTGATACTGCATATAAAAATACGAGAATATTTTCTATACTGAGCTTATCTTCTATACTTATAATAAATTTGTAGAGAGGTCAATTCTGTACTTGAAATATATTTCCAAAATAACTATCAGGGGGTGATTAGTAATCGATACTGATGCCAAAAATGCAATCAGTAATTTTTTTGTCTCTCTGTATGTTCGTTATAGAAACAAAAACTACTCGACGGATTTTTAACAAAACTTGGTACAATTATTCTTTATACTCCTGGGCAGGTTATAGTATACATTTCATCACACTACGATCAATAGGAGCAGAGCAGTGATGGGAAATGTTGGGAAAATGGGAGAAGTTACTCCATTTTTAAGCTTCCGTCGCGTGTGCAGCCTTAATGGCCACTTTTTAAAATGTCCACCCGTGCGACGCCGGAACGGGCCGCTAGTGTAAAATAAGTGCCTTGAATATGCTAATGCTAAGTTGTTTGAATGTAACCATAAACATTAATGTCTCTTAGATAGTGGTACTACTTTGTGTACCGTGTGATCTGTGATCTCTGTGATGCGGTTACTCTGTATACTTGCTCTGTGCTAGATCTCTCTTGTTACATTTAAAAGTCATTAAACTACAAATTTGTACTTTTTTTTTCATCAAATATAAAATCTATCTTTCACTTTTAATTACAATAAAAATCATGCATAAGTAAAATATTTTTAGCTTTATCAATTGAATAATTAATAAAAAATAGAAGAAGTCAAATAAAGGTTATGACTCACGTTTGTTATTATTATGAATTTGTATTATAGTAGTAAATTGGTCAGAAATTTATTTCAATAGAACACAATAACATCAATAGACAACGAACAACTTCTTTTATGCTATTTGTATTTTATTAAATGTGTAAACTTGCCCTATATTAAGTTTTTTAATACTTTTGGCATCTTATAAATCAAATTAGTGGCGTTAACAGCATTCGATGAAATACAGCGAATGAAGATACAATGCAGTGAATCACTCATGCATTAAAATAAGATAAATTGTTAATTTTTATGTTTTGTACATGTAGAGATGAGTTTAGACAGTTATAAATCAGGCAGTTAGAAATATTAGTTTAATTCGAATGAAGCGTTAGGTACTGGAATTAGCATTACATAATTTATGGATAGAGTTTAAGAGTTGTATACACTATTATGTTGCCATGATCGTAAAAACCACGCATGCAATTGTGTGACGAATGCCATAACGTCCAAGAATTGCAACGGCCGTCGTAACTTACATATTGCTTGAATCAAACAGTTTTACATAAGCAATAAAGATGTAGAATAGTTATAAAAATGTGTATTGAGTAGAACAGAAATTATTAGTATAGTTTTATGGGAATACTAGCCGTTTCCCGCGGCATTGTTCGTTTGTATCTGAAGTATTGTACGTGTTAAATGATAACTATCGTGAGACATACTGTGTTGTAATTTTTATTATTATACGCGCACATGAATAAGGGCTCCTATTGAGTTCGAAACTAGTAGAGCATCCTCAAATTTAAAATATGTGTACAGTCGACATAAATAATTACATATAATGCGTAAGATATAGCCTTCTCATGTACTAAATTTCATTCAAATCTATTCATCCGTTCAAGCGTAAATCAGTAACTAACGCACAAACATCTAAACATCCAAACATCTGTACAAACTTTGACATTTATAATATTAGTAGAATACTACTAGCAAAAAATTACCAACTTGGTCATATTTTGCAAAAGAGTTTCTTATATTAACTTGATATCTGAAAACGTCGTGTTAATATGGGAAGTTAAACATTTTTTTGTCGTTTCCCATCCTGTGTTTCTTTCGGAAATTGGTTAGTTTCATTGGTAAAAGGATGCTTGTGATTAAAATTCTATTTCACCATGTATGGTGGGCGTTAAACCAAATGTAAGGACCGAATGTTCGAGAAGACAGTATAACTACTACTAGTTAAGTGGACTAGATGGTGCAACTCAAACTCCTCTATAATGCACTTATAATTTTTATTAGAGGTTGAATGAAACAGTACACGACTTACACGTATAATGCGATGAATTAATAGCTTAAAAAGAGCGGGAAAATAATCTATCGCCCGCGTTATCAGTGTTGCCAATTTAATAATTTGAAAAATTGTTGGCTGGTATTGCCAACAGTGGGTACGTTAGATTAGATTATTTGGATTAAAAAGATTAACAGACAATCTTCTAAATCTTTTCAATTCAAGGACATGTTAGAGATAAATATTAATGCCTAAAATTAAAGTTCGGATTGTATAAAAATAAATTGAATATTTTAGCGCCTTTGAGATTATTTGATTATTTATATCATGTTTATTATTACTAATTTTCCATTTACAATACTTGTAACCCAATATAAGAATATAAGTATGTAGGTATGTATTTTTTAGTGAAAATATTATTAAGATTAAAGGAATTAAAGGAATTTACACATATAATCTCTAAACACACATATAAATATCTGTCTAATATCCAAGAATAACATACAATTACGTAAAAGTTTTTAATACCTACGTGAGTAATGATTTTTATAGTTTAGAAATTGACCAGTAATTAAATTTTACGCAGAGATGTTTCTATTTCAAACCATTCCTAAACCAACAAAAAAAAAACGTAATTATACAGTATAATAGGACTATGTCATGAAGGTAATGTATAGATATAGAATTATGACAGGTGTTGACATTTTGAGTTTTAAACTATATGTCTATAAGGGTCAATTTCGCCCACCAGTCATCATCTTGGTTTTGTTGGACAGAATAATAAATACATTACAGTTTACGTAAGATAGCGTAGGACTATTGTGATTAAACATTTCTATTTTGGAATGGAATTGTTTAAATTAGATATTAACAGTTTAAATAGGGTATTAATTATCATGCATTGAATTAATATTAGACATTTTATCATGCAATATACATAAATCTTGCGTTTTAATATATGCTGAGATTCTTTCGAATAACTTCTTGACTCATGCAGGTTTATAACATTTTAACACCGTTATACAGGGGTTGCATATACATGGTTGCATTAAAATTATCACGTACCCTGTACCAAGTGGCCACCTGTGGTTTGGCGCCGAAGTCACCACCGAAAACAATATACAATACATAATATATTAATTAAATGAAAAGTAAGTAATATTACAAGAATATAGATATATGGATTAAATGATTGTTAGTATATTAATGGAAACTACCGCAGAAATAAAATTAACTCCGTACCAATTAATTGCAAAAATAAAAAAAAATAGCTTTTACTCATAGATATATTTATTTATACATGGAAGTAGTATTAGTAGCATCAATTTATCCACAAGAGGAAATGCAAACGAACTAGGCCATACAGCCTGATCTTCAGTTCATACATGGAATATATTTCGAACGTCATGTTTTTAAATAAAAAAATTACAACTAAAGTACCTACCTAGTCCGGGCTCGCGTCACATCTAACAACAAATAGCTTGTACGAAAACTATGCAACTAGTACCAACACTGAATTTGGAAATTTTATACGATATAGATCTTTTCATGTCTTATCAATATATTGGATAGTAACATATTATAAATGGTGGTACAACACTGTTATTTTAAGATAATATACATTTTATTGCTGTGATGATGGTAGATGGTTGCATAGATTATTTCTTTAATAACATTAAAATAAAGGTAGTGCTGATTCTTGAATACCGTAATAATTATTAGGTACTTAATCTGTGATCTAGTCTACATAATATTGTTTTCGCGCCAATTCTGTCCGACAACATATCGGAATGCAAATGTCAAGCGGCGTGTATCTTTCGATTCACGTGACCGAAGTCTGTACGTTTAAGAAATTACTTCCCCGTAACGGTATGTGAAAACTGGTTTGTATTGTCGAGTGTGTTGGTCCGTTGAGCGGCGATTTTTCCGAGATCTAGTTAGATACGGGCACTTGGTGCAAGAAAAATAGCAGGTACTTAAGTTAAGTAATTAATATATAAACTAAGATTATATAGATAGATCAGAGAGTATCAGAAATGTGTTAATATTTAGTCAGCTAATTTATTGTTTCGCCGACTATTTTTTTAAAACAAAATGTGCTTATATCAGTGTCGCAAGTAACTAATTGGATTAAAAATTTTCCAGGTTTATTAAATTTGAATTTGGAATATTTTTTTCTGATTAATATAAATATACATTATGTACGTGTAGCTTATAAATAAATATACGTGTATTAATAAAAATGGCGGCAATTTTTAATAATTCAAAAACGTAAACATATTTTATGTCTGTACTCAGATATAAATCAAAGCACTGAGTAAAGATAAGCATAATTACTAATCATTATGCACTGTTTCTTTTTCAAATATATTCGTAATGATTTTGTATCACTTTTGTTATTCAATTTAATCTTACAATATAATTTCTTTTATATACTGAGTAATAAATGTATATTATGGTAAGCCTAATAACCTAAAGTTGACCTGTTTTGGGAAAGAATTTGTATGGAGACACTCTAAGTATATTATCTTATAATATAATAAATACGAACTAAACTAATATATTTGACTTATTTTATTACAACTACTATCATAGAGTTTCTCAGAGCGGTAACAAATTATGCAGAAATGAAATAATTAGTTGTTATAATATTTTACATAATAAAATTATTATTAATGTATTCTATCTTTTATTATTTTTTATATTATTATATATTACTGTATTATTTGATGTTTTCTTTATAATGGATTGTATTTTGTTTTAATTGTTGTTATTATTCTTTGGTATTGGGCATGTACTTTTTTTTTATAAATAAAAAAAGCTAAGATTAACCCGCAAATAGGAACAATCGACTCACCGTATTAAGTTTCTATGAATTTTATCGTATTGATTAAAATAGTTGCATATACTATAATTTCTATAATGCGTCAATTAAAACTTAACCCATTATCGGTACCTAACGGCGATAGACGTAATTAAATCACAAATAGTTTGTTGTAATTATAAAGACATTCTATGTTACCAATAGAGATAATATTAATAAAAAAAAAATATAGTTTAATATTTACTTATTGCCGCAGGGGACACTGCGAATGAGACATATTTATCGCTGTACGAATGTATCGACGATGTTTTATTGTTTCGTTTATTGCAATTTACGAGTATCGCCGGCCTGTACCGCCCACGTCTTCCCACGTGTGTAGCTCTAATGCAAATAAATATTTAATATGACGCTATATTAATAATATAAAACGAAGGTATCTAGACATCTTACTTTTTGTTTTTGATATATTTTAATGTTGGTATTGGTAAAGTACACTGGTCTGTAATAAACAATTGAACATGTAAACACTGTTGTACTTTGTCAGAACTGTCACATTATTCTATTATTGTTTGAAATTGTTTGAAGTGTTATTATAATAAAGTATTAAAGTGTTTCATGGATATATGTGTAATTTAATTTAATGTTATAGTAATTTACTTAGTTTTCTTTTTCTTTGTAATATGACGATAAGGTAGTAAGTACATAGTGAGATAAATATGGTATTATTTATTACTGGCCTATGTTCTACAATAAAGATTTGAAATTAAAAAAAAATACTTTTGTTTGTAGATATTTCTTAAATTATTTACATAAAATGCGTATAAAGGTTCTATTTATTGTGTAATTGTAGGAAGTCTCAATATAATAACGTATCCGTTCAATTATCTTCTCCCTTAGTCAAAGGTTCTGTTTAAAAGATTTGATCAGTAAGGTCGCCTTGTTGGATGTATTATTACATTTGTTATGGTTTCAAGGAAATATTTTTATTATATACAACAATGTTATATCATAAAATTTACATTAAATATAAATATACATAATGGAACTCTAATATTTGCCTCTCAAATGAACGAAACGAAACTTTATGTATATTTTTTATGAAACTTAAAATAGTAAACAAGCAGCTGGTCCACCTAGAAAGTGGTTATTATCATCTATAGACATGAACAGTACTATAGAAATAACAGAATATACTGTGTCACCCGTGATGCCCTTATATATGTATATACCGTAAAAAATGTAAAATCAAATTTAAAAGTCCCTCCCTATATGGGAGTTTAACAATATTTTTCCCGACAAAATATTAATTTTAAAATGGCAATATTTTCAGATTTTCACTTCGTACTGGTTTTATTACACAATCAGTGACATTAATAACAATAAATATTACTAATTCTAAATTAAAACATTTGTACATTATTAACTTAAGTATTTTATCTAATGAAATTAATTCATAACCAACCTCTTCATGTTCAATTAGCCCTAATATAAACAAACATGAAATATAAATAATTCAACAGTTTTAATAATCCCTTTTAAAATACATTCGATTTCTTTTGCAGTAGAGGTTTTTCAAAGCTTGTTTTTTTTTTTGAAAAATAATCTTAAAAAATCTTATCTTGAAAAAATCTTATTAATCTTGTTATTAAAATTCGTAAATTACCGAGAAAAAAATAAAATTAAGTTAAACACTTATTACGTATATCAGTATTCTTAAAGTTTTGAAGGCATGGAATACTTATTATTTTTATATTAACAAAATTATTACTTACATGGGTAAATAAAAAGAATCATGCGATTTTTTCGTCAAATAGTAACCTCGATTTCGACGGTTCTTTTTTATCGCATGTTTGTTTCAAATTAATTTTAATAAAATTTAAATTGCTTTTTTCATACACACAAACACACAAAAAAAAAGATGATGAAAATTATATAAGATAAGGCAAAAATTGTGAACATCAATTGAACAAATGTTGAAAATGCTCGATAACTTTAAATGGGACCCTCCTATTTACTTTAGGAAATGCTGGTGTAGAGAAAACAATGAACGTACCTTAGGCAAGGCGGCAAGGCACTGCTGCTTGACGTCCCAAACGAGTTGGTCTCTAGGAAACTGGAGGCTCTTCTGCACGTTCAGCTCTGGAACGTGCACGCGCACTAACAGCCACCCCTCCGCGCCCTCTGAGCACTCCCCCTCCATTACGCTACGCCATCTGCAAAAAAAAGTATAAAGCGTTTAGAATCATTTTCATGTAATATTAGCAGCAAACATGCTGACCGTCTACCTGAGCGGGGAAAAGGATTGTTAGTGATGGAGATTAAGAATCCCATTGCTAGCAATATGCCCAGCCAGGTCGACCTCTTTGCGGTTCTCCTTAGAAACTATCATGGTTAATTCCTTGTGAATTCGTCATGATGGGCTAACTGGCCTGTTTTCATTCTCATCGATCACCCTTCACTGGTGCTCCGCCAGCGTATCTTGTCAGCGTACGCGGGGTTACCATTCCATTTTCACCTGATGAAATGTGGTAACCATCGCTTATACACATGATTAGTAGTATTGAAATTATATAGTACGCTGTAATGATCATGATACCCCCTGATCATGATATTCTACCTCCATATCTTGTAATTTCACTGCCTTATATCGTCCAATGGATGCCAAGATGGACGAGGGACGGGAAGCAGCGTCTCTCTTTAAACGTCACCGAAACCTAACTGCGGTTGCTAAGCCGCCTGCCAAGAGTGGAAATTACCAGACGGACAGATAACGGTTGATATGATGATAATAATAATAATAATATTTATTTAATCAGACATAGAATAGGCAATCTCTTCCTTTTTAGTGGGTGTCGTAAGAGGCGACTAAGAGAACTTGATGGACGAGGGACGGGAAGCAGCGTCTCTCTTTAAACGTCACCGAAACCTAACTGCGGTTGCTAAGCCGCCTGCCAAGAGTGGAAATTACTGGAAAAACACCGAATAGGTGGAGGTTTATGTTCAACAGACGGACAGATAACGGTTGATATGATGATAATAATAATAATAATATTTATTTAATCAGACTACATAAGGCCATTTTGTTAGTTATAAATTGACTTAACCTATGTTAGTAAATGAGCGGTCATAACGCTCTTACATTGATAACCTGTCCGACCAAAATATTTTAGTATAGGACAGTCCATTTTATCAGCAATTGTCTTCAGAACACTGTTTGAGCTAACACGCACCCTACCCAACAGCGAAACAATGATTCTACTCTTTAAACAGAAACGACATGATGAACTTCGATGAACAATATCGATTATGCAAAACATCACGAACTAAACCTAACTTACATCACTAAATATCGTCCCACGAACTAAAGGAGAACTCAAATAACATGGACGATTCCAACTAAATATAATACATGCAAAACTGTCTAGAAGTTTAACGATTAATGTATATTAAATTTAAACGTTAAAGCGCAGTTATGTTAACCGTTATTAAATAGGAACTATGTGCGTAAGTGAGGCATTCGTTTGACGTTTTGATTGGTCAGCAAACTGGTGTTGTTTGATCGAAGGTAGGTACTCTGTATTTAGTAGCTGTAAGTAACGACAACACTTAATCCAAATTTCATTTATAATATCAGTTTATTTATTTAATTTTTACTGAAATTTCGAATGACAAACTAACCGACAGACCATCTAATACAAAGTGTCGGGGGGAAGGGATTGTTAGTAATGCGGGCTACCAGTCCCATTGCTAGCAATATACCCTGTCAGGTCGACCTTCACGTGGTCCACTTGGGAAACATAGTGCTGAATTCCAGGTATATTTATCACGATGGGCTAACTGACCTACCTTTTCATTCTCATACTGTGATCTCTCAATGGTGTCTCACCAGTGTATACAGTTAACGAAGGCGGCGTTGCCATTATCATTTATTAAAAACAAACAGTGTCTATATACCTATGTAACGGGAAATTAATAAACTCACTGTGTTTACGTCGTATTCCAACAATTGTTTGACTTCATATAAAGTGTTAATTGTCATCTATACTGTATACACGAACAGCACACCATGTATATACATATAATAAAATGCACTGTAATATTCATATTCAGTTTAAACGAATGAAAAACTTCTATTGTTGTTTTCAAAGAATGTTACAGATATGTATAGAATATCTATTTGTACGTAAAAGTAATGCCATGTGGTCCCGGCATAGAATAGGCCACCTCTTATTTTCTCGTGAGTGTCGTAAGAGGCAACTAAGGGAAGGCGAGAGATGGGCAGCAGTGTCCCTCTTAAAACACCATATCCAAAATCGTAATCTTCAAAGCTTAAATGCGGTTGCCTATCCGTCTGCTAAGCATAGCAACTACTAGCAAAACCCCCCAAGGGGAGGCTTGTATCTAGCAGTGGACAGTTAAGGGCTGATATATATATATATATATATAAAATATCTAGATAAAAAAGGCAAGGGCAAGAAGCAATAATAGACGGCAATATAAAAGCGATTTTTTTCCGAAAAGGTTCAAGGATCAAAATTGGTACAGGGTTGAACATTGTAGTCTTTCAACAATTATTATTGGCTAAATTACAACTTGGCTGAAGACGTTTCCCAACAGTTATTGGTAAATCATTCATTTTATGAGATATTAAGCATACTTTCTTCGTAACAAATGATTCGTTAACACAAATTAACCTGAGTGAAGCAACTTATAGTGTGACTAAATAGAAAGATATCCGATAAAATTCAATTAACTACCTACCGGATAATGATTAACGTTGGCCGCTCGTTAATCCGGTTGAATTTCTGTGGAATTATTCATTCAATAGCCGACGGCGCCTACTATAATCACATATCACCACTATAAGGAAAACTTTATTAAGCTTGTTTCAAAACTAGAAGGTTCGCACTTGCTCTTTTTTTTCTAATTATTTTTCGCGATTACTTCGCCAATCATGAACCGATTTTATGATTTCTTTTAGCAATCGATAGGGTAGGATTTTGTATCGATGCCATATGTACTTTTACGGTAATCATCATAATATTAGGTTTTAACCGTCCACTGCTGAACATAAGCTTCCCCTTTGGGGGATTTTTCTAGTAGTTGCCACGCTTGGCAGGCGGATTGGCAACCGCAGTCAGGCTTTAGAGATGTTTTAAGAAGAACGCTGCTGCCCATCTCTCGCCCTTCCTTAGTCGCCTCTTACGACACCCACGGGAAAGGAAGGGATGACCTATTCTATGCTGGGACCACACGGCCACTTTTACGATAAAAACTACTAAACTACAGATTTTCTATAGAATTATACACACTTTGGCATAGGTTGCTTAACTTGTATTTAATAAAACTAAATTCCAAGAAATCATTGGAAATATCTCGATTTGTATGCGTGTAAATTGACTTTACAAGACCATAGTCCGTTATTCTGTGTATTAATACTTCTATGTACTTAGAAGGATGAATATTGTGGTGTAATGTTATAGGTACTGCCCTTAACATATATGTGGGGAAGGATTATTACTAATCTAGTAAATTAACTAACTCTAGCCCCCATAATGTAGTATGAAAATGAAATGGTAACTCGGCTTGCGCTATCGGTATACTCGTTTGCTGGTCAGGCACCAGCGAGAGATGATAGGAATTTGACAAGAATCAACCTCAATAATTTCCAAGGGAAACTGCTAGATGATTGACCTGTAAAAGCATATTGCTAGCAATGGGTCTTTTTAGCCATATTACTAACAATCCCTTTGACCCTATAGGTGTCTTGTTAAGACAGTCACACTCTCGCCTTGGATATCGTTGTAATGAATTCCAGTGCGAATCCATCACGATGGACCAACTGAGATATCTTCACCTATTATTTCTTACTGATTCTCTATCAACGTGTATCAATAGCATATGCGAGGTTACCATTTTATGTCCATTAATTAAAAATAAATAAATCACATTCCATTTATGAGCATTTTACTATTTTTATGTATACAAACAGTTTGTTATTTTATTTATCTCATTAATAAAGATGTAATCCCCAATTATATTCGATCGAAGCGAACATTCCAGAAACCTTACTGTAACGATATCTAGGTGCTAATTTAATTACCCGGTTTATAGCCAAATAAAACCATTATAAAGGACCGCGGTCTAAACGAGGCTATAAAAATAGACTATAAATACAATGGGTTGCATAAATAAATTCTTTTATGGGATGGTATTTCAATCAAAGAAGTGTATTTCTCTTTTTATTTGCGATCTCAAAAGGACGAGAGTTTTAATTCGCCTGTATTTTTTGTCTCATTATACCTTCGCTAATGCTGGATCGATTGTGATAATTACCTTTGCAATAAGTAAGGTTTACAACAATGTCGGTGCCATGATAATTTTGTTACGATTCAGTGGTTCTTTTATTTTACGTTTCGTTCGTTTATATTGCGTGTGGAATGTTTATTTATTTATTTATTTATTATAATCAATTACAGATTAGAAATGGTATTTACTAAATGTTATATACAATTTATTTCGTTGAATAATATAATATGTAATAAAATAAATGAATAAATAAAAATAGCCTTTATTCCTGAATTATAGGTTCTTTTGTTAATTGTAAATATGTATAAGAAATTAATGTTGACATCAGCAACATCTTATTTTTCAGGTTGTTCTAGAACATAGGCCTCCTCCATATTTCTCCATTGGTAACGATTCCTTGCAGCTTGTCTCTAGCCTTTGGGCAAATCATTCTCCCATCTTCTTGTTGGTCTACCTTGGTTTCTTTTTCCATTACGCGGATAATATAATATGTAATAGGAGTGGGTAATTTATAGTAAAATCTATATATTTTAATTACAATATCTATATACGTGTCCAATAATGAATTTATTAAAAGTCTTTTATCTAAAAAATAATATTAGATAACAGACTTTTAACATATTTAATTTTTTTTATTATTATTCGACCGATATGGGTGATACAGAAATGGGTGATGACCTATTTCACGTAAAAATGTCCAGACGAATTGAATATATAGATATCGGATCAGTATACATAATACCTATGTATAATATATAACCTACAATTTACCAGAGGGAGATTTTGTACAAAAGTCGATTGCTTGGGTATTTCTGTCCCATTCGTGTTTCTACCGTGAAGCAGTTGTGTTTGCATGGCTGTGTTTCCGTTTGAAAGGTGGGATATGGCGTGAATTTATAGGGTA